TGCTTTAATGTTGAATAACTCGGTGAAAAAAAATCATACAACGCTCAACAAAAAAGCAAATTAAAGGTAAAGATTCATTCTTTCAAAAGCTGTAAATTGCATTTGCATGCGATTTTTAATTCGCGCCATGGAACTTAAAATTAGTATCTATATAGCTAGTAATCATTTTTTAGAGTAAAAGAATTTAATCCTGTTTAAAAAAAGGCGTGTTAAATTCATACTCGCATTTCTCGAAATCTTCTCGAAGTTTATAGTTGAATTTTTTCCGCGATCCGATTGGTTCTCTTGCTGCGCTAACTTCGTGAGCGGTTGTCATTGCATATTTTAACAATTGTGCATATCGAAGGATTATTAGTCTAATACAATGTAATTGTATGCATTGTAAACGTATTATAGTAAGAAGTAAAGAAAAAGCTAAATAGCACACGCGAAGCGCGCGTCTGTGATATCTAGTGTTATTAAATAATATAACATTTTTCGAACATTTTTAAATTAATATTGTTTTTTTATTTATTTTTTAGTGCTTCATATCTTGGAAATACCGTACAACAAACCGATAGTAGAAGGTCAATCCTATTCACACTTACACAACGTTACACAAGTGGCTTTAAATTATAATGGTGATATAACTGACCGACAATTGGCATTAATAGATGTTAATAAAGATTTATTTTTAGTTGCAATAAGAACTATAGGCTTTGGGAAAATATGTAAAATAGGTACGTAATATTGCAGACGTATAATTATTAAATATTTTTATTGAATATAAAATTACTAAAATTAACAATTTATAAATATTTTAATTAAATATGTGTTTTAGCTGCAATGGCACAAAATATTGCATGGGCAACTGACGCAAATATATTAGCTGCAATGTTGGACGCAAATCTATCAGTATGGCTATGTCCTAATTGTGTTCATTATAGTGATCGCAAAATAATACGGCAAGCAAGAATTGATAAGGAAAGCAGGTATTGATCATGAATTTTTTTAATAAGTAATATGTTTATACGTGGGTCGTTTGATAAGTAAGGTAAATTTCCGCGATATGGCACCACAATTATAGGGCCTTAAGGCCCTCAAATACGAAATCTCTCCCAAGTACGTATATTAATTTGAGCGTAGTAGGATGTAACAATTTATAGACAATTTATAGACAATTGGGTCTTTCCTCAGCTATAATTTTTAAAAAATTGTCAAAAACACATTTTTTAAGGTTTTCAACTTTATTTTTCTTAAAAATTTAACGTGATAAGCAAATTTTGAAGGCAGCATCCGTTTTCAGTGCCTATATAGGAAAAATTTACGGAAAACTACTTTCCATTTTCAGGAAACTTTTAGCATGTCGACTAATGTAATTTTTAAGATAAGATGAGTTCTTTTATGGTTCAAGATGCGCTGATTAAACAAAAACCTATTGCAATATCATATTGTAAATATCTATTGTAAAAACCTATTTACAAAAACATAAATTGAAAACCTTATTTCAGCATATTTTTCTTAAAACACATTTTTTTAATTTTGCTGACAATATAGAGAAAAAAACAATTCAATGCAATAATAGTTTTTCTTAAAAAAAAATTATGAAATTTTTTCCATAATATATTTATATTAATATATTTATTTATATATATTTACATTAAATAAATATTTAAATTTTTAAAATTATATATTTATATTTACTTAATTTTGTAATTAATTAATAACGAGTAACTAAAGTAATTGATTAATAATTAACAATAATTTCAATTAAATACAATTAATACTTACTTATGAATTATATTTAATTATCTTTTATGTTAATTATTTTTAAAAATAATCATTAATTTTGAAAATAATTTTAATAACTTTATTTTAATCATTTATACTTTATCTTATATACAGTGAATTTGGAAAACAGCCTAACATCGTCAGTGTTCGTAATGGTATGGTTATGGTGAGACGTGGAGATGGTGCTATTGTAGCTTCATCTTTTTACAATCTCTTTACAAGTTTTCACGAACACATATCAAACAAAAAGTTAAAAGAAGCACTTTCTCTCTGTCGTATTGCTCAGGTAATTTAATATAATTATACGTTACATAAAATACTATGTACAATATTTTTATATGTATATTAAAAATAATAATGTGTATGTGTATATAAGATATTCAGGAAAGTTGCATTTAAATTGATACAGCTTATTGAAAAAGTTAAATAGATAGCAAATAGATAGCAATAGAATCGATACAGGCTTATTATCTAGCTTTGAAAGAAATAGCTAGTAGAGGTGACATCGAAAACGAAGCATTGTATCATTACGTTATAGATGGTATAGATGATAATACGGCCAATAAAAGTATTTTGTACGGAGCAAAAAATGCAAGTTTAAGGAAAAGTTAAAAGTGTACGAAAAAATGAATGAAAAAATGAAAGCTAAGATTCCGGTCATCAGTAAATCTATTAATGTAACTGCAAGTAAAAAAACAAAGTCAAAAGAGAAAGAAGAGGTACGCTGCTACAATTGTGGTGAATTAGGCCACAGATCGATTGAGTGTAAATTTAAGAGCAAGGGCGTGAAATGTTTTAACTGCAATGAGTTTGGTCACAAGGCTCTTGAATGCCAAAAAGAGAAAGTAAAAGGGAAGAAAGAAGAAGAAGCGTCAACAAAGACCGAGTCAGTAAGCAATTTGAACGTGCCGAGAAGGATGTACAAGATGATTGAGTTACGGAATGAAAAATAGAATGCTCTAATCGATACGGACAGTCAAGTTAACATTGTCAGCGAGAACGCGTATAAAAGGATTGGATCACCGAAATTAACTAAATCTACGCTGCGCTTTTCAGGACTCGGAAGAAATGAAGTAGAACCTGTAGGATATTTCGAAGATATAATTTCTATTGATGGCGAACACTTTCCCGTAATAATATACATAGTATTCAATGACGTCGTGGTCATGGAAGTCGTGATCGGCAATGAATTATTGTCGTAAGCCGAACTTAAGATTAAAAAAGATAACATTACTATTAAGAAAATACAGGAAGATACGGTACTTTCGTTAAACTATGTCGTAGAAGAAAGTGCTCAGAACACCGCACATATTACATGCAAAAAAAGTAAACTGGAGGTGGAACAGCTTTTTGAAAACTATCAACCTCGGAAGATGAAAGATATTGATACGGAAATGACGATTACGGTTACCGACGATCAGAAGATTGTAGCAAGACCAAGACGTTTACCGTTTCCGGAAAAAAAAATAGTGGAAGAACAGGTCGAACAATGGATTAACGACGGAATAGTAGAACCATGCTCCTCTGAATATGCCAGTCAGGTGGTTGTCATGAGGAAAAAAGACGGAACACCAAGGGTTTGTGTAGACTATCGAGCGCTATAAAGGTATAGTAGTCAAGGACCGCTACTTGCTTCCATTAATAGAGGACATCCTGGACAGGCTGCAAAATGCTCGGGTATTCAGCTCGATTGATTTGAAGAATGGTTTCTTCCACATGCCGATAAACAAAGATGATCAGAAATACACAGCGTTTGTGACACACATAATGGCCAATACCAATTTTTACGAATGCCATTTGGTTTTTGCAATTCACCGGCAATATTCCAACGTTTTATAAACATGATCTTCAGTAACTGCAAGAGGTATAGCTTGACCGGTATCGACGATCTGATAATCCCAGGTGCAAATGAAGAAAACGCTATTGCTAACCTTAGATTAGTATTAGAACAAGCAGAACAATACGGACTCGAGATTAATAAGAAAAAATGTCGATTTTTACAAAGACGAATCGAGTTTTTAGGACACGTGATAGAAGATGGTAAATTGTATCCTTCGTCTGACAAAATAGCAATTAGCCAACTAGATAAATTACCGATCTCGGATACGACATAGTGAAATGTTGTGAAATTAACATTAATTGACGGGCGGGATGTATAGATTTATGTAAAATATATAAAGGTGTTAATTGACAAGGATCGTAATTTATCGATTCGAGCGATTTATCGCGGAGCGATTCACCTTTGTGCGCATGACAATAAGAAGGTAGGGGAAAGAAATTCGGAGGAATGTGACAAAACAAGCATGCGACGACTGTTTCGGCCTGTATCGCTTTATCCGCCTAATTGTAATAATCATGACGAACGAGAAATAAAGTGAATAGTAATTAATACAAGTGAATTCCTGGTCTATTACCATCATAAAATTATCCACCCTGTATATACCATGTTATTTCTTTATACTAATTTTATTATTTGTTTTAAAATAAATTAATGAAACATGTAATTATTTTATGTTGTCAGAATGAGATACTGTGGACTTGTATGGCTATCATGGCAACTGATCATAAAGAATTACATGCTGCAGAAGAAGCTTATGCTGCTATTTGTAGATTTGATAAAGTCGATTATATTAAATATATAAAGGTAATTACATCTATTTATTATACTATTTATATTATAATATTTATATTTATTTATCAAGTTTGTTATATAAGATATAGTCTTAAATAACTAAATTTGTATAATGTTTACAGAATTTACCTACTGCTACAGAAAGAAATGCGGAAATGGCATTATTGGCAGGGGATTTGTCAATGGCTGAAGGTATACTGTTGCAAAACAATCTAATTAAGGAGGCTATACATATCAACGTTCAAATTTATAATTGGAATAGGTATGTTATATAAAATGTAATTATAAAATATACAATCGGTTATTAATTTTTTACAGTATGATTATTTGAAAAATTACATTGATAGAAATATCATTTTAATAAGATTAATTCTCCACAAGTAATGTTGGACTTTTAAGATATAATCAATTTTTCATTGTAAATTTTATGGTAGTTAGACCCCAAAACATTATTCAAAAATGTATTGATGTATTGACTTTCGTCTTAAGTAATTTAGATATTAATACATATGCCTGTAAAATGTGAACTCGATTTACCGTCCTGTTTCTGATATATGTATATACATATATATAGAATATACAATGAAAGTAAAGTGAAGTATAAAGTGATCTTTCCCTGATCTTGACAACGCCACTCCAGATCAAACTAATGGTATCATTTTATGTCCCATTTGAAGTTATAAGATCATAGTTTTTGAAAAATCTTAATGGATCTTTTAAAATGAGACACGCTATATACATATATTGATATACATATATTTTGATATTTTTAAATCCTGCTTTTTTGGATAGGTTAAACTGTTGTTGCACATGCTTTTAAATATGTAAAACTTTTTATGCATTAACTCTAGACTACCACACCTGGGTAAAATTTACCCAGACGTTTTTGAAGTGCGTGCCATTCCGACAGAGTTGAAGAATTGGGGTCGCGATGTGG